TTAGATCCTAATGCACAGCGTAATTTAAAAGCTTATTTTAAGTAGATTGTGTAAACCATGTGAATGAATTTGATTGTCATACTTTTGATAAGATTTAATTCAAAAGCAAACTTACACAAAAATAATATACATAAGCCAATGAAAACAGTTTTTGGAACAATAATACAAATAAATAAATTACCTTTATAATAAAACGGAGCTTACACTGTATTAATGTTTTAAATGCCTGATATTTTAGAAAGTCAATGAAATAAATGCTTAAAGTGTAAAAGCAAATTTTCTAAAAGTGAATACTATCGATAACCATAGGTATACATGCATTGTAATTGGAAAGTTCTAGTAAAGGATGACAAAATTCTGTAAATGAAAGATCATTTTTTAAGTACGAGTATTTAAATCAACGCAAGTACTTGAAATTAGCAAACTCCGTCTGAATTATAAGACCATAAATGAGTAAAACAAGAAAGACGGTGCTCACACGATACACATGGTGTTATCAAAATGAAATTTATAAGTTTCTCTTATAGGCTTAATATTTTGACAAAACAGTTATAACTTACCTTTGATATTAAACCTTTCTTATAACTAACCGTTCGCTTGATAAAATGATTTATTGAAATTTGAGGAAGTGTATTGAACAATGGAAAGTAATCAATTTTCTATTTAGTGAATATCTATATGTAAATGCATTGTCTTATACGATCATTGACACTTAGAGGTCTAACCTTGTGATTGTGTGAAATAATTGGAACAATATCTTCTTTCACCCATGTGTCCTCCTTCTTTTGAATTGATTGCAAATGTTTGAAATTCAAAAAACTATCTATTCTATAAAATGCATAATTTGTACGAGAGGTGTTCAATTCATTATATAACATAAGGCTGTTGACTTCAAACCACTTGCCCCTCACCGCTTCGGGTTCGAATCCCGACAGGAACTTTGGATTATTTCATGTGAGGAAGCTATCCAGCTATCTTACAGAACGTCGGTGGTTCTGCTCAAGTGCCCGTTCGTGCCTGAAATAATGCACTGAAGGGCACCTGAGGTCTTCCTCTACCAGTAAAGCTGGAACGTCGCGATATGACCTATACTGTGTCGTCGATGTGACGTAAAACCCAAAACAAACATATAACATCATAAGATGTTATAGATTACAAAACTCGTTCAATGTGATTAATTCGTGTAAAGTGGTGTTTAATTCATATACCCTTCACATTTGAATTGAAAATTTAATAATGTTAGACCAAATATAAATGATTTGTTGAACGCATTATTTTAGGACTATCTAAAAACAATGAGTCACACATGTTCAAATTTAAAACAAAGAATTTTTACATACTGCACAACGTAAGTGGTTTTCCATGTTCTAATTCCATAAACAGACTTATAAATGATGGAAATATAGCGCTTTAAGTAGAGAGTTAATCACTTCCCTAACCAATCATTAAAAAAAGAAATAAGTACGACAGTAAACGATTACAGCATTAAATAACAACCTACTGGATTACATAAAACTAGTGGTTAACATGTAGCAAGCAGCTGATGGAGCAGCCTTGTGTATTTGTCAAGTTATGGTCTTTTAATCAATATAAAAACGAAATCCAAAACAACACGATTATCATTACACTAACTGATATAAGATATATGCCTCCATAGCAGCTTTATCAACTTTATGTCTTTGTCTTATTTTTCTAAACTCAAATGAACAAAGCAGTTTAGGACAATGAGACATTTTCTAAACACACGACTTTCATATGAGGCAAACAAAGTAAGAACGTTGACATGTGTGCCACAGTCGTATATAAATGTACCGAATATTATAATAATTTTGAAGGAAAAAATGATGACGTTTGTATAAAAATATAACCTTGCTTTTTTAATTAACACTTAATTGTAAATTGTAATTCTTGTATGAAATCAATGTAGCCACACAAGTTTCTAATTCGAAGCAGTGTATTCTGCAAACTGATGGCTTCAATACACTAAAGAATAATTCAATGTTTGTAATAAAACCTCGTGGGGCTAGGCTTGAAGATAGATGTGAAGCTAACCTTACGTATATACCATTGAACGAAAGAATAAGACAAATGAAAGAAGTAAGTTTTTTTTCCAAAATAAATAACTAATATACCTATATCAAGAACCTACTATACATTCAAATCATGGTAATTTTCAAGAAAATATTAGTTTTATAACGTTATATGCGCTAAATGTATTTAGTAGAAAACTATGAGAGCGGTTCACCGCTTGAGGAACACAACTAAAATAACACGAAAATCAATTTAAGTTCTATTTTATTTATTCAAGTTATAAAAAAATTTGCATTAAAGACGAGAGTATTTTTTGAACGTCTGATAATATAAATGGTTAAGGGTCAAACTTTTTGTTTTACATTTTTATTTTGCAAAACATTATACCAACATTATAACATTCAAACCAATGAATATATAAACGGAAGTTGTAGGTGATATAAAGTAGAATTTCTAATCGGCGTATGAAAGTACTAATATTTTATGTATGTAAGTATTCAAACTTCACTAGAATATCTTTAATGTATTTAACTTCAAGCCAAACTAAATTATTATTAAGTACATTTTTATTAGTATTTGTAACTATTCAAAAGCCAAGGCTTAGACCAATTGCAGGAAATTTACTTTTTCTATAACGATGAGATGCAAAGAGAAATGTTGACATGTTGCAATACAAAGATAATTCGTTGCCATGACTGTGTACAAAATGTTTATCAAAGAAAGTAATCTTTTATAATGAAATTGAATAATGTCTAAGGTTAAATTCAAAAGCATCTTACCAACGCCACCCCATATACATGCAATGAAATTTAACACTCTGACTTATAGGCTCTTATGAGACCATATGTAAAACTTGTTATCTATTTATTTCTAAATACTAGTAGTTCTGAAAGCAATCAGATTGAGAATCATTTCTGAAAAGTAAACTTAAATATTTTTAGTTTTAAGTTAAAACTAATTGTATAATTTAAATTGTATATATATATATATATGTATGAGCATATACTACTTTGTATGGCATTTTAAATGCAAAGCAATTCAAGATTTAAAGTAAACTAAATGGCTGTGATTATTTGATTCGCAAATAAAATTTATGAAATACTACTCACTACCAATGAACGAGAAGGTAAGTGTAAATGGCCGTTTCAGATAAAGATTTGTTAAGGATTAATGTCTTTATTTAAACGTATTATTGAAACAGATGTATGACATTCATCAACAAATTTCATGCTTGAAATCAAAGATTCATGTAGGCTTAATTTTAATCATCAAATTGCGGTTTTAGGTAGTCGACGACAGAGAGTCTTTTGTCGACCTTTCTTTTACTTCTTTTTAAATTCCTTGTATAGAGGTCTTTATGTCAAAGACTTAGATCACAGAAATTGGTTCTAGACAAATTAAACGAACCAAAGTCCACAAACTAGGTATAAAATTTAAAAAAACCAAATAAATACTATGTTGGTACATAATCAACGAATAGCTAATGTTTGAATGTAGAAAAGTTATGTAGGAAGGAAACCGCTGAAAGTGTATTAATTTCTGTTAACCGTATATAATAATATCATTTCTTACAGCATAGAGGATCTTTAACCCTGTTGCAAATTTTGTATTTTTTTATCCTTGCACTTTTACCAGCTACTTACTTTATTTAGGAGCCCGGTCATCGAATATTGCCTTTTAAAATATAGTTAAAGCTCACTTCTAAAGTTTTATATTGTTGTTTTTTTTATGTTTTTTTTCATTTAAATGCAAACATCTACGCTGTATACATTTTTTCATTTCAGTTTTAGAATGTTATTAAAATATTTGCAAGATCAAGATTAAGCACTTATCATTGGTATTTTATGGTTCTGGTCGTTTTCTTTTTGTTTTGTTTTTTAAATTAGTTATCCTGTCGTTTTTCAGGCATTGTTTACGTTTCATGTCCTACCTACTTAATTTGTTAAGATGTATCTAATTAAAGTTAAACTGAACAGGTTATAATGACCTTGCCTTAAGTCGCTCTATTCTATTAACATCCGAACTATTTAAGCCAAAGCTCTCCCATAACCTTTGTGTCAACATCTAACTGCATTTTTCTTTGGTTAAATATATAGAGAACATGCAAATATGCGAAAACAATGCACTAGAGACCAAATTGATATGACATCTTTACATATAGTGTAGTTGTAATGTGTTACCCTAGGTTATGCTGTGGCATTCTTGCGCATTACATTATAAGTTTTCAAGCACTTCGATTTTTTCTGTTGCTTAGTAGTTGGACATGTAATACATATAGTCATAAGTAGATCAAACTGTACCAGGTATACAATAATATACAATTATTGACTAATGAGCCATTGAATATGATGTGATATTCACCGGCAGATGACATAGTGACCGAGGCGATAGCGTATCATATTTAATGACTCACTAGTCAATAATTGTTTCATTATATGGATAGGCAAAGATTTAAAACACACACAAAAAGAAAGGCCTTATAAGGAAATTCAAAACACAACGGTTGCCTTATTTTTATGCGCAAGCAAAATTAAAAGTCTACAATATATAAACATTGAATAAGTGTCTCAATCTATTTTTAGATTGGGGAAATCTATATATATAGCTAGTGAATATGATACTGCATCCAGTAAACCTGCATCCAGTAAATATGATTTTATAAATAGTTCTGTTGACTTCTGTTTGGACTATGAGATTGCAGCTATATTTAGATCATATAATAATGATTATAATTATTGCATACCTGGTACAGTTTAATCTATTTATGGTTATATGTATCACATGCCCAACTACGAAGCAACAGACAAAATCGTAGTGCTTGTAAGCTAATAATTTAATGATAATAAATATATAATTTGATTGCAGTCTCGGAATATTTATTTCCTTTCCTATCTTACAGACAATATAAGAAAATAATCATAAAACAAAAACAACAGATATACTTACACTTTTTTATTGAAAATCGTTGATGTGCGTGCCCTCATAATCACACATTGACGCAGACCGTAAAGGTTATGACTGCATTTGCAATGTCAATTGAAATAATGGGAGCATGCAAGTATAGAAATTCTAATAGAATGCAAATCCATATCAAACAACACTAATAAAAAACACTATTCAAGAAACAAATATATGCAAACTAAAATCATTAACTATAATCAACAAATTCATCAAGTATGTACAGGCTTAATATCATGTATTTACAATCTTACAGTCGAGTAAGATAGACTTAATGCAAAATGATTCGAATAGAAGCTTAACCTTAAATTAACTGGTTCTCATTTTAAAAAAAAAATGAGATAACAAGTAAGATAACAGCATGTAATTATATTTGTACATGAACGTTAAAGAAGATATAAACAATTAACTTCAATGCCAAATCAGATTAATCGCTTTTTTTGAAATTACTTCTCCATTTAGGTTTGGGTCCAGATTTTGTCGGTCGTTGTTGTCCTGATGGTTTAGCATTTGTTGGTTTGTTTTGTTGACTACCTCTACCTTTATCCTGACCATGATCTTCTTGGGATATATGTTTTGAAATATTACTAAGCATGTTCTCTAATCGTTTAACCTGTTCAAGTACTTCTTCATTTTGTTTCGTTAGTTCTGTTTGCATGGCTGCCATATCTTCTTCGTGCTTTTTTGAAAGATCATGTTTCATAATTGCCATTTCCTTCGTAATTCTGTCAAAATGAGCAGACAAATTCAATTTTATTTCTTCAGTTTTTTGTAGTTCTCTATCCTTTTCCGCTATTGTATTTTTTAATTCATCTATCTGTTCCCTTAGTTTTTCAAAATCTTCCTGGTCATCCACAGATCCATTTTTACCATCATTTTGCGCCTTTATCAACTGCTTTTTCAACTCTTGTTCACTTTTCTCTAGCGTTCTTATTTTCGCTTTTAATTCTTGTATTTTCTTCTCTAAACATTCAATTACATCTGATTGGAGGGAAAGGAGTTCTGAAGCTCTTTCTGTTATTTTCTTGCGAACATCATCGGTTAGTTTCTTGCGATCGTCGATTTCCATATCACGATTGCAAATTATTTCGATAGTTTGCTTTACTTCCTGCAGTAAACTTTCATGGTCATTTGAAGTTTTATATGTGGTTTTGTTTTTGGACTTCTTCTTTAGAGTCTTTGATGCAGCCTTTCCTGTTATTTCCAAAAATTTTGAATCCTGAAATAAGTGACCACCATTAGTGTGATACATTTGAATATATAATTGAATTAAAATGCGAATCTGTATATGGTTGATTACTCAAATAATTGTATGTATTATTAAATAAAATTTATGAAATGTTTACCTCTGGGCCACCTTCAGCCATGACTTTCTTTTCTGCCCAGTTAAATCACTTCTTGAACTGAAAAAAAAATAAGACTTTACGTTTCTAATTTCAAAATTTCTCCAATTTCGTGTTAAAATGTTGAATTCTGCTTAAACCATAGTTTCGGTCGTGGACGGTAACTTACACTTTCCAGTACTGTACATGAACAGGCTCAATCAAACTAAGCCTGCAATATTTTCAATTTTGCCGTGTAGGGCTTTCTTTAGGGATTATGTTTTTCTTATTTTTTTTTCGTCGCCACGTTCATTCAAATTTTGTTCTATTATTTTTACTTCTTCAACAACAACAAGAAATTCTTCAATCAAGTTTAACCATTTGTTATTTGTATTGGAGTTGAATTAAATGATCGAAACATATAAAATTATTTTTAACGGTATAATTTGCAGAAAAAAATGCTCCAAATGTTGACAATTCTCGATTTATTGATGATTTCTCTAGGATGTCTATCTTGTTCTTCGTATAGCATATGGAAAGTGTACGAGTATTCTTCCTATTAGGAGAAAGTTGTTAAGAATGTTGATATATATTTTGAAAATGGTATCATGTTACTTGGTTTACTCTAATTTATGCTCTCTATGTCAGCTGCCATTGTTCAAACGAAATATAATTATGTAGTTATATATCTATTCCCTTACTTTTATTAAGTAACGGAACATTTGCTTTTGTTATTAAATATTTCGAGGTTAACTAAATTTGTTTTAGTTCGATTATGTTAGAAGCTGTAATTTGTTTTAAAACACTTTGGGGGAAGGGAACCGAGTTTTAATTTTTTCCTCCTTATCTTTGACCGGCTGTAAAAAGGTTTTTTACTGGGGGACCTAAGCACAAAAACTCATAAAAAACATTGATTTGTGAGTAAAGGCCCCCTTTGATTTGGGGGGGATGGTTTAAATTTTGTAATCGCCTTTATGCCCAAAATTTCTGAAATATCGCGGAAGCCAATGGGCTTTTGGACCTGAAACATAAAAGATGCTTTGGCCTTGGGCAGTAAATAACCCTTGATTTTGGAGTCGTTGGTTCAAAGTTCATGGTTAAATTGATCCCCTATCCGAAAAAGGTTTCAAACCAAAACCTCGACAACCGACAACACCTGGGCCCGGCACCTAAACTTTAAAAGTGCAATTACTTGGATCGAGGAGGTAAATGCCGAGGTACCTCTGACCTTAATGCTTGAACAGTTCTATTTATATTTGTTGTTTAATTCCGCTTGCGTTAACACCATAACTTGCTTATCCATGATATGAAAGGGGGCATGCTTGTCATTTGTCATCCCTTGTTTTGTTTCAGTGTTTACTGTTACCGGCACATATTCTTCTGTATGAATCGGATGATCACAAGTCTCATGCGGCCTCATTTAATACTATAAAATTTCCCCCCAAATATATTTTAAACCTCAAGCTCTCTCTCTCTTAACAAATCGAGAAGGAAATCAAAGTTAATTTTTTTGCCGTGCACATATTAAGAACGAATACACTACTCTCAATCGGTACATAGACCGAATAATAGAGATAAATTGTTACTACTAGGATTTATCTTGACTGTCTTCCTTTCCATAAAGGTAAGTTAAGTCCTTTTTGTCTATCGCGTCAACATTTCTATGCCAACAAAGTTCATCATATCTCTAATATAGATGGTATTGTAGCAATATTGCCTTTTAATAATAATATCCAGGTACATGTACAAATGGATTAATTTCAAAATAATGTGTGCTCTTCAATGGAGTGGAAACCTTGACAAACTTAAGATCAATAAGTTTAGTATACACAGGCCAAGAGGAAGGTGTAAAACATTGCAACGATACAGTTCAACTACTCATTGACTCAACAGCGTAGTTAAATGTATTTTAGTAGGTTAATGTGATTGCCATAATTTTGTAAACAGTATTTGTTAAAGTATAAATTCAAAGGAAAACATGTATATTAAGCCAATGGACAAAGCTTTTTGAACAATACAAAAAAATCCGTTTATTTTTTTTTTCTTTTCAAATTCCTTACAAAGTAATTGATACCGTTATGAATAAGTGACCCACACCATAACATTTTGGTTAGCTTTAAACAATATCTAATTTCCAATTGCACATGTTTCCTATATGCATATAAATATTGACGTCAGACACTTGCTAAACCAGTTGTAAATTAAGAATGTATGACAAGTCCGTAGACATGTCGAATTTATTGGAAACAAAACAAATATTAAAAATAATCCATTTAAATGTTCATAAAAAATATTAAGAAACAAGGAGATGATCTTCAGGTAATTACTTTAGGTGAAGCTTGAAATATTTTTGTAAATACATCAGTGCTTGTCAACGGCCTTTTGTTACACTTTATATTAAGAACAGAACAGAACAGAACATATCTTTTATTTTCACCCAAGCATTTTTCAATACAATATGGGGGCATAACACAATTTTTATATAACAGAGAATGCATAGTTCCGGTACGAACAAAAGAAGTATATAATCACTTAACACAGTACATTGCCAATGAGGAAAAAAACACACACACACACAAAAAACTTTACTAAATTAGAAAAAAATAATACAAACTATGGAATGATATATCGAGCAGGGGTTTTGTTAACATTAAATCGATATACACCCATTAATTTATTATCTACGTGTAACTACATTTGAAGAAAAAAATAAAATAAAATAAGGAGGTTGTCTATTGTAATATTTTA